ATGGTCGAGCAATCATCACACCAACACCCAGTACAGGTGATGAAATTTCAGCAATGAACGACGCGAATGTCGGCCATCACGCCACGTGCTACGATCCCTGATGGAGGGGGTGGGGAGCCGTGAATATTCATAGGTATGCTACAGCATGGCTACTGCATCCTATAAATACTGCAGCCCCTTATGCATGAGCCACCCTTATCTGCTTTTGTCTCTGATGATGGGTTCGAACAGGAATCCTAAACGTCAGGCTAATAAAGCTCTTGTCCCAGCGATCGTGTCTCCTTCTGCAAGACTACTTCCTGGGACTCGTCTCTTCGCTTCTGTTGGCCATGATAAGCATCCACATTATACATGAATTTACGAAAGACCTATACTTATTGAGTAGGCGATCCGAATGCACCCTTCATGATTCTCAGCTAGCAACAAACAACCGTCAGTTAAACAAAAATACAAAAATGTATTGAAAGTAGTATTATTTTGGTCACTAATAAAAATTCCCTAAGAAAAGCAAAATTCCTGAAAGCTCTAGTATACGTGTCTAATGAATAAACTTAACCTGTTAAAGTGCATGAAGCTTGTCCAAGAAAATAATCGAATACATAAGACAGCCTGAGCATGAAAGTGTTTAAAAGCACTCTTTTATTATAGCCGGAGTAAATTTATTTCAAAAATGAGTTGAATATGCAATATAGCCGCTGGCCAACCTTCTGATACTTGTTTCGGCGTCCAGGCATGATGTTACGAGAATTCGATGTCATTTTTAAGTTTTTAAAGCGGTTGAGATGCGGTTTGATTCAATGAAGAGGATTTAATTGGACTTAATGGATAGAGATTTCAGACTAAAAATAGTTTTCATAGTCGCGCACCTCGAGAAGCCAGTCCGTGACAGGGAAATTGAGATAAAACTGACATACTAAATCATAGGCGTGCCATTTTCCGTGCATCAAGAGAACTCTTATTCTTTAAAATACCTGTGTGATTCCCGGCGATTGTGGAGTACTTGAGATGTCAGAGAATACTATGCGGTTGTCAGTTCTCTCAATCGACTGCCCAAAATTATAGGTTTAATACTTTATACCTTTCGAAACCGTCAAAGTAAGACATTTTTCGAAAGCTTTGCCAATGGATTGAGTTCTTGAACATTTTTGTGTGGACGAGGGTTTGGCTCATAGTTATGGACCACCCATACACGAAACCTAGTCGCCAAAGTGTCATTGAGGATGTCATTGAGAAAGAAATGAGACGAATACGCTCATAATCAAATGAAAACCTTCTCTAATAAGTTATCTTTTTTAAAAGTGCCTTTCTAACACATTCTGTTGGCGGATATCCACACAATTGAGCGTTTTCTAGAGTAAGGTTCGCGGAAAAACTGGAGCATTTTGTCCCCTGAAAAATACTGGCGAGTTTTCTGCGCAGGCAAAAACTGCTTCTTTTCTTTATGGCTGAGTTATTTCCGTCCTCCGCCTTCATTTTAGGCCTCGTTTTACGATTACAAAAGCACTACCGAGTAGCAATATAAGTACTAAATAATTCAAAAACTCGGATGTCTGCCGATTTCGCTTCTAAATTAAAGAATAACAGAAAGTATGTCGCACAAAATCTACCCTAACACATCCAGGGGTGTGTTATTACTGTTTTTTTTTGGGACATCAAATCATACAGATTGACGGTCCCGAATTCTTAGGGAGGACAACAATAATTCTTTCTCTGAAAATAGCGTGCTCATTCACATTTTGCCTGATTTATGCGAACCAAAACTCAACTTTCGAGTTGAAGACAACAGTTTTGCTAAAAATTCCTCATTTTTCACTTGATGCTTTGCTCAGATATGGTTATGTAGCCCCACCCTAAGTAAACAAACCCCAGCCACCTGCAGTATAGGACCAATGGTAATAGGGGTTTTTGCCGGTTGGGCCAGGGAACACACAAGTGACGGGCTCAAGTAGTTGTATGCAAAAAAAACGCTATTGGGAATGCGCGGTTGTACGTTGAATGGTTGAGAAATGGTTGCCTTAATCCCTAACCCTGACCTCCCAACCCTATTCCCCCAACTCTAACCCCAACACCAACAGTATTGTGTCCACCAGGTGGGGCGACATATCCGCATCTTACCAATGCACTTTTCACCAGGAAAACACACAGATTCGATACAACTGGACAGGAAGTGATCACGGACACCCAGATCCAGGAATCAACTGGCAAATTGAGAATCTGTGTCAGGTTGAAACGGAGCCAACTACGATGGAGCGGCTAAGAATGACTGAGGAGCGCGTGTCAAAGAGACTATTTTATGGAAATTCACTGCGATCAACCGTAGGCAGGACGACATGTCGTGGTACGATGGTCAACAACTTGCAGGTTCCCAAATCAGAAGACGGGCAAGATGGTTAAATGAACAAGGTTTACTTAGGCGGTGTAGTATACACGCAACTCAGCAAGCAGTAACAACCAGCGTTCTCGTCAGCTAGGCGTTTGTGGCGTTCAGGTAGTGGGGTCCCCGCGACAAACGAATATGACTTTGAGTTTTATCCGCCTGCAGCCGATCGGTGAAGGACGCAACGTGATTGGTTCCGAGCTCTCCCGATCTGATGCCAAGTCGTATGCGGCTCCAGTCCCGAATTGATAGGGAGCATGAGGCGTATAGAGAGGCGATATGAGTAAGTGGTTGCGCTGGCGATCGGGGGGACAGATTGCCACAGGTAAAAACAACGTTATAATGACCATGGTAGAAAGGCGCCCTCCGATCGCTTTTAGGGAGCTCACTCGTCGAGTTATACTTTACGGGCTCTCCCTCGAGCCCAACCAGCAGCCGCACAGCGACGCATGACTGAGCTCCGTAAGAACTATCGGTAAACGCTCCTTTATCATTGAACATTCCTGATCGCAATCGTCAGGACAACGAGTCCGTGGCTCAGTGGTTAGAGGCGTAGACTTCTAACTAACAGGTTGCGAGTTTGAGCCTCGGGTGTTCCACACTTCGGGATTGGGTATGACTGGCTGACGACGGCTAATAAGCCAGAAATGGTCATTCCAGTCTTCCTTGTTTTTGTCAGTAATACTATTCTGGTTATACTGACCTCCCCACGTAACTCTAGGTCGAGGAACATGCCTGGAGAACGCTTGTAGCGACCAACAGTCAAGGAAATTCACTGTGAAAAATAAAGAGAACGTCAGTGATGATGACGGAATCGAGGAGACCAGTAATGCAAAACCAGAATGTTGCGAACCAACATGGACGACGTCCGACTCCCCCCCCCCCTGGGTGACATGTTTGCATGGTCCGCGGGCATTCAGGGCTCGGATAGGCCTTGTTGCACGCCTTCAGATTCATTTTGTTGCCAGCCCGACCAACCATTCCCTTCTACCAGCCCTCGCTTTCACGCCAACTTTCCATCTCCGTTCGTCCTGGGAGTCCCTTTCGTGTCCGGCGCAACGTGGAATTTCCAGAACCCAGAGGACAGCCACCAACAGCGTGGACTCGGCGCCAAACTGTTCTCCTTGTTGGCACACATTTCGGTAATACATCAGCGCCGACGAACACGAACGGACCCCACGCAGAATGACTGAATAACCAAAGCCTGAAGTTTCAGAGAACGCCATCCACACACACACTTCCTCCCGCAATATACCTGCCTGGTTACCTATGCAATCACAAAGACGATTACTGAAGTATTATCCCTTACGCCATATTACTCCGTCCACACAGGTGCAGTCGTTTCGTGGAGATTTCCAGTCATATCCACAGTCATAAGGGACATCCATCTATCAAGCGTAAACACTGGTGATGAGTGTTCATATCGGTAGTGACCGAAGAAACGGTTACACTTACTGGTGTGCATGGGCGTGGTATGGGTTCGCCAGTGATTCGCCAGTATGCAGCCGAACTGGCGATCTCGGGAGCAGACTGTCGCAGATTCGCTCCACCTCCTGCGCCGAAGTTTGGGCGAAAAGTGCGACTGGGAAAACTAAATTCCAAACGGAGGAGAAATTAAAACGCATGTTAGTGTCGCTTTGCGCGAAAGGCGAGTACTGCCGTTAACGTTGGCTTAGTGAGCAGCGTTGGCAGGAAAAAGCCTGGTTATCATGGGTGGTCCGGGGGCACCTAGGGGCACTGGCTGACTTTCTTGGTCGTTACCAAGTTTCTAGCTGCCGTTTGCAAGTACGTGTGACAACACATGTGTCGGACTCCCGTGGTTGGTGGGAGCGTGTTAATTGGTTGGTTCGCGCTTGCGGGCTATTTGTGCGTCGGCACATCTCAGCCATCTGTAGGATTCGACACCATCCCCGGGACCAACCAATGTTTGTTATCAACTCCACTACCCTAACATAATCGGAGTAACTTGGAAAAAAACCCCGATCCAACGTCATCCAGAGACGGCACACTGGGACACAACCTGTCGTCAAATGAACTGATGAGGCAGCAAGTACAGGTTTTACGGCACGAAGCTTCATTCAACACAGCTGATGCCAAACCTGTTAACATGATTGCAGCAGTGGAATCAGTCCTCAGTCAGACGGAGGGAATGGAGGAGACTAGGAGCATCATCCGACACCAAGTGTCTTTTCTCCTAACGGTCCACAGGCCGCGGGAAGTACTTTCCAAGGTTGAACGTGATGCGCTTAGAGAACTCAAGGCTGACTAGGACCTGGTCATCGTGCTAGCGGACAAGGGGCGCTCCACGGTTGTACTGGACAGGACAGACAACCTTCAAAAAGCCAAAAACATATTGGAGGATCGCCAGTTTTATGTCCTATGTAAAACCAACCCCGTAAAAACGCGGACACGCGAAATTAATGCTACTTTGTTGGCTTTGGAGAACTCAAATGCAATAACACCGATCGACAGACGCATGGCGGGACCCCAAGAGACGGCTTTGGTCCGATTCTATGGCCTGCCTAAGGTGCACAAAGAGGGCGCTCCTCTCCGACCCATCGTGCCACTCAAAGTGACTCCAACGTACGGACTGGCTAATTGACTGTTCCGGCGTCTCAAATTCATGACCGCTGAGTCAGACACCACGGTCTCGTCGTCAGCCCAATTCCCGGAGAAACTCAAAGGGGTTAGCCTCCGTTAAAATGAGGTCATGGTATCTTTTGATGTTACATCCCTTCTTCTATTCCTTAGGACCTGGCGATCGAGACAATCGAGTGGCTTCTACAAAGCAAATACGATGAAACGGAGAAAAGTCTTGGACACGCCCAAATCCTCCAGCTCCTAAAGTTCTGTCTCAGGACGTACTTCATGTTCGACAGGACAATTTACGAACAGGTGAAGGGCACACCAATGGGTTCGCCGATTTCGGGGTTCATCGCCGAGGCGGTCCTGCTACGGTTGGAGTCGCTGGTCTTCCAACTCCACAAACCGAAGTTCTGGGCCCGGTATGTGGATGAAACCTTCGTCGTTATCGACCGGGATCAACTGGTGACATTCAAGGAACGTCTGAATGCGGTCTTTCAGGCCATACATTTTACGATGTAGGAGGTACAGAACAACCAGCTGGCCTTCCTGGATGTCCTCGTATGCCGCAAGGATTGTGGTGGACTAAAGACCAAAGTGTTCAGGAAAGCGACAAATAAGATGCTAGTCCTGAACTTCAACAGCAACCATCCAATCAGCCACAAACGCAGTTGTGTAAGGACGCTCTATCGGCGTGTCTAGACGCACTTCAGTGAGTTGGAAGACAAGATTGCCGAACTACAATACCTCCGACGGGTCATCAAAGCCAATGGCTACATGCGCAACTTCATCAACCGGTGCATAGGCAAAAGGTACGAAAGGCCTAACCGCACGGACACCAAATGTTGGCGAGCGCGTCCATATGTCAAGAACGTTTCGGGAGCTGTTGGCGGCCTTCTCGCACCACTTGGGGTTGGAGTTGCACACAGACCGGAGGCAACCATCAGGCGTCAGTTAATGAAACCGAAAGGACCACTGCCACGGCAAGAAACGTCTGGAGTCGTTTATCGGATCTGGTGCAGTTGCGGACAAAGCAACTACATCGGAGAAACTGGAAGACAGCTTCGAATGCGAATGGCCGAACACGCTGCAGCGGTGCGGAGAAATGACGTCAGCTCTCAAGTTGCGGCTCATTCGACGAGATCCGGCCATACATTCAAGTTCGACGAGGCCGAAATTTCCCCAAGAGGTGACAATCGCGTGAGCCGGGAACTGCTTGAGTCATGGTTTACTGGCTCTCAGTCCATTAACAAGTGCAATTACCTTCCCCTTCCATACTCGGTGCTGAGACTTCGCCTAAGCGGAGTAATTGGCCACGCGGGAAGCGCACAGGTGAACACTGTTCCCAACGCCATTGTCGGTGGGTCAGATGGTCGAGCAATCATCACACTAACATCTAACGCACGTGATGAAATTGCAGCAATTAACGACGCGAATGCACAGAAGGACTCATGCAATCTTACGCCATCGATGTTCATGCATCTACTTTGCTTGAACTGTTGGACTTATGTCTAGAAGCAAACCTTTCGTTTCTAGACCTAGTTCTAGTCAGACGATCTTAGTTCGCTGAAACCAAAGTCCAGTTAGTCATCTTCTTCCCAGTTTCAACCGAGTAACTTGTGATGTGTCCTTTAAGTTCCTGAGCTTGCCTCAGTTTTCGTTAGCAATTAATTTGATAGACGTCGAGATAATAAAATAACTAACACATGCTTACTTTTTTCCTGCGAGTAGTTACGGTTTGTCCATTTAAGATGCATGAATTGGGATAAAGACGAGAGCGACGTCATCTTGAAGACGATATCTCGAAGGACCCCGTGCCTGTGATTTGGGATCCGGTGCTTTTCAAGTGGATACCTTTGACGTGAAAATTGACCTTCAAGGAACCGAGAATCAGGAAAGCATCCACCAAGGGGATAGACTAGACGCCCGCTTACCGGTTAGTCGGAAGAGCGATAAGTAGAGAGATGGAATCATTCCTACAGTAGGTGACCTAACTCATGAAATATGTCGAAATTTACGAATGATTGCCAATCACTCGCAGACCGACAGCATTTGATGAATCTGATGCCTTTTTTACTTTAGGGCAAGTTTGACAGAATTAAAAGCAAAAAAAAACTGTCAAAGGCAGTGTTGCGTTGTTTGAAATGCCGACTCTTTTAGAAAAGCGCAGTCCCGAAAACGTCAGAAATGGCTGTAATTTAGCAAACTTCGTTTTTAGAAATAAAAAAATGTATTTTCATGCTAAAAACGTTGTAAATATGAAAATACAAATAAAATAACGTTTAATAATAGTGCCTCAATGAAGTTTACATCTAAATATCATTTAGGAATTAGGGTGATCTCATACATTGCGGTTTGTCAACAGCCTACTTTCTGAGTACAGATTCCGAAACACTTTTCCAAGGATTCCTGATATTCTTAACTTGGTTGAGTTGATTGAAATGGGGTTCAAAAGGAGAAACGGGATTTCGCTTTTTTTGGGGACGTCGTAGGAACAAAGTCTTCATAGGGCGACGTGCTGCCGGGCCGATCGGTGCCTAGTAAATTTAGATAGAACAGGCGTGATCGTTAACATGTCACTTTGCAAAAAAGAGAACGCTCTTAGGAATATCGAGTTGTAATCGTAAATTTTCAAGTCGGTGACACCGACCCGTCGTCAGACGAAATCAACAGAGGGGAAGGTGAATATAGAGGACTAGGTCGGCTGGCGCGACAGGACAGACAACAACAAACGGACAGCTGATGTGTGAGGGGGGTGGGCACCGAGTTATGTTAGGCTGTGTTTATAAAAAGAAATTTTCTTCCGTTAAATTAATTTTCACTTTTTGTTCGCTTTGGATTATGTTGAGTTTCAGATCGGCCTTGAAAGATTGCTGAATACTTCGTGATTTTCTGTGTTTTGATCCGATCGTCAATAAAGACAGATTCTGAATTACCTGTCTGGTAAAAATTCTAAAATAAGATAATTCTTGAAATTATTTGCTGAATTAGTGACTGTTTTGGCGCTCCTTTTCCAAAGGTCGTTTGGGTCACTTATGAAGAGTCATTCAAACATCAAACTTCTTTTTCAAAAAAACTGGCTGTCCACAACGAAAGTCAGCAACGAATATGCTTTCTATCGATTAGAAAACCTTCTCTAATAAGTTTCCTGTTTAAGAAGTGCTTTAATACTGCGCTCCGTTGATAGATCTCTGTGTACTTTGCATTTTGCACAATGGCCAAGAAAAAAATTGACACTTTTGGCTGTATCTTTCACGTTCCTAAATAATATTAATATTTGTCCCCCGTAAACGTAAAGATATGTCATTTTCTATATATTGCGGTCATTTTCACTGCTTCGGGTCGCTTCGAGGCTCCGTTTTTGATTTTGAATGCATTGCAGTGCGCCCATATAAATACTCATATTTTTCTGAAACTATAAAGGTTTTGCTCGTTTAATTTCTGAATTAAGTGTGTGCAGATGCTAGACTACACCACAGGTAATATTCCGTATGTCTAAACCTGGAAATGACGATTTGGTGGTGGTCATTTATGCGACATCACGTAAAATTTTCCAAAAGGCAATACAATTCCACCCCACTTGAACAACAAAATCCCTGTCTGCGTTACTACTGCACTTCAGGAAACCAAATCGCACAGATATGCTAATATAACTTTTACCAATCGATAAAACATCCGGTGTTGTTAAAATAACCTTTGTGTTTACAAGTTGACTACCACAGATAGCATCGGTCGTTGGACATAAATTTTCAAGTCCGGCTAAATCTGTTTGTTAAAACTCCCGCAGGTAAATATCTTTCATTTCAATGAAAAACTCGCTCAGATGCGCATAGGAAATTGCACGAATAAATGGCAACCCCCATTTTCGTCCAGAAATTCTCGCATCAGTTTCCGTTATCAGGTTTCACGAGATAGGTCACATACTGTATATATACAGGCAAAGTAACATTGCCGACAAAGACAAAGGAAACGGGGATGGCCAGTTCTGACTTATTAACTGTCGTCAGCTAGTCACATCCAACTCCAAAGTAATATTGCCCTGCCTGTATTACGCGCGACTGTGTGGCTGCTGGTTGGGCGCTAGAGAGAGCCCCATAACACAACGGGACGGGTGGTTTCCGTAACTGGATCGATGAGCGCCCCTCCACCATTGTATATTCCCGATCGCAACCGACGGGACAACGAGCCCTTGGCTCGGTGGTTAGAGCGTTTCACTTCTAGCCAACAAGTCGCGGTATCGAACCCCAAGTGTCCCACACCCCAGGGTTGGGTGTGACTAGCTGACGAAGACTGATAATTCAGAAATGGCCACCTCACGTTCCCTTGTCTTTGTCAATAATGTTACCCTGTCAATATTACGCGCTGCTGTGCGGCTGCTGGTGGGGCTCGAGAGGGAGCCCGGAGGCACAGCCGGACGAGTGGGTTCCGCAGCACGATCGTCAAGCGCCCTTCTACCAGGTGTTCCACACTTCAGGGTTGGGTGTGGCATCAGAGTAGCCATATGGAGAAAGGACCGAGAAGCATTGCCCGCTTACGCGAGCGTGCTCGTAGCGTGTGGTGATGGGTAACTTGATGTGTGTCGCAAATGCTGGTGGTGGAATGGTGCGATGGTGTCGTATGGCCGGTGGTGGTTTGCTGCAGGTTTCCACGGATGCGCATTTGGCCTGGTAGGTCCATGCGGTGGTTGAATGTGCGAAGTAAATGCAGGCATTTGAGACGAGTATGTCTGATGGATGTTGGTGCCCCAGGCACTGGTCATCCAGTTTTCGTACGATGGATTCGCAGGTGACCGACCAGACCGATATGGCAGGTGAGTGTGCGAGGACAGTGTGGGTAGGATAGGTCGGGAGCGTCAGAGGCGGTCTCGGTGTTGGAGCCGCTGCTGGTGAGTGCGTTGGGCGATGAGGTGTTGATTGGGCTAAGGATGGTGGGTGCGCAAGGAATGTTGAGTGTGTCGATACTGCTGAGAATTCTGCTGTCGTGGATGTGCATGTGATCGAATAGGTCCACACAATGAATGAATGTGCGAGGACAATGTAGGCCATGGAGGTGATAGCATCTGGTGCCCCGACCTCGTCAGTTGCCTTCATCTCCACCATCCCTATCCTAACCTGCGCGGCGTTTCCCTGACTTTTTAATCGCTCCCTTGGCCCAAGACTTCGGCATCATATATATATATATGTGAGATGATACCGACAAAGACAAGGGAGACCGGAATGGCCATTTCTGGCTTATTAGCCGTCATCAGCCAGTCATCAGCCAGTCGGTATCATCTCATCTATGTCTACTACTAGTCGCTGTGCGACTGCCTGCGAGGGTTTAAGTATGAGCCCCAAGGCACAACGGAACGAGCATGTTCCGTAACCTGATCGGCGAGCGCCCACTGTCATAATATATATATGTAGCAGCGAGGAGGGACGCTGGTTTGTCAGTCTCTGTGCGATGGATTCGACAACGACCGACCAGGTCTATGCGTGAGGTGAACATGCGGTGACAGTGATTGCAAGACAATTTAGGAGATGCTAAGTTAGTTGCCGTTGTGGTACTGCTAGTGATGATCGTGCCGGTGGATGTTGAGTTGGTTGGATTTTGGTGGGGGAGTTGGTGATTGTGCAAAATTTACTAGGTGTGTCGATATTGAGGTAAGTCCCTCTGCTGTGGATACGCATGTGATCGAAAGTGCCCATGCAGTGGATGAATGTGCATGGGAAGTGTGGACAGTGAAGACGGACGCGGTGAGTTTGTGTTTGAGCTTCTCGCACTGGTGTTCCTATCGCAGTGCGATGGGCTCGCATGTGGCCGACCAGGCCGATGTCTGACCGACGATTGCAATGCGGACAAGTTGTGACCCAGCCTAAATCTTTAGAGGGGGGGGGATGGTAGAAGCAACGATGGTGATCGACGGGCCGTTGGAAACGTTTTTATCGGTGGCGGGATTGGCAGCTGTGGTGGTGATCGTCGTCGTCATCACAGAGGTTATGACAGGGATGGTGGACATGAAGGCAACCGACGGGGTCGGGGCACCAGGAGGGGTCATCAGTGTTGAGGGCCGTGGTCGTCACGGACGCCGTGGGGCTTGAAGCAGGAGCGGTCGCGGAGGCAGCATTCGAGCTGTCGTGCTGTTGGTTGGTGCATTGAGTCTGGGGATATCCGACGAGACCGGTCCGAGCGCAAAATGCTTGTTGACAGCGCGGGCATGTTGGGAGCGTCGGATGTTAATGTTGCGGGTCAGGGACGCCTGAGAGTTGTGAGCTTCTCGTTCGGCTTTGGCAGGGGCGGTCTAGTTGTCTTCGTAGATTGCCCTTCCAATCTTCACTGCTGTCCTCCAGGATGGTTGGTCGTGGGTGAGGTCTTCCCAGGCCATCGTTTCATAGGACTATTCAAGGTGTGCTTTTGGCGGCGTCTTGGACCTCCTTGTCGGCAAGCAGCAAGAGCGGAATCTCTGTAGAAGAGTAGGTTTGGTGGTCGCCCAATGTCCATCCTCCTACTTATAATCGCCTCAGCATGACGTGGATGCCGCGGATTCCGCTCTGTTTCAAAACTCCCGTGTCCAGCATTCTGTCCTTCAACCTCAGTTTCAGTATTCACCGAAGGCAGCTGAGGTGAAAGTGGTTGCGTCTGTCCAGGTCTCCGTATCATACAGAGGTCTTGTCAAGATGGTCGTGTTGCACATCTTGAGTTTGGTATTGAAGTGGAGACCGTGGCAATCCCGCAAGGAGGCCTGACTGATTTTGAAGATCTGGTATGCCATTTCGCCCTCAGTTTTGATGCTGCCTAAGAGTGTGCTAACTAAATAGACGAAGTTGCCTAGTTGGGTGCGTTTGGCAGTGCTACGAGGGAAGTTGTATGCCGTTCAAGTTGATGATTGATGTATGACCATAGTTTGTCCGCGGAATGTGGCGCGAAGGGAGGCGAAGAGGTCCACGCGCATTTCCATGTCTGTCTCAGTCGCGCGTTTGAACGCGCAATCATCCGTAAGGAGCAGACCCTGCAGAGAATTCGTGGAGAGGCGTTTTGGGGTCTGTATATGTCGCAAGTTGGATGGTCGACAAGACAAAGATTCCCTATCAAAAGTCGGGGATGACAGAGTGGGTCGGAAAATCTTTACTGTTCACTGGGACAAGAAATTTATTGGCCTGACGTTTAGGATTCTCACTCGAATCCATCATCAGAGACATTCGTGTGTTGGAAGTGCGTACACAAAGGCTCTGTGAGCAGTCTCCGCGAGCGCGCTCTCCAGGCAAGTTGTTGTCTGTGTCCGCCTTCAAGGTGCTCAGACCCAGCGAGTGTGGGCGCCTTTCGTTGTCTCCGCGTCCGCCAGCCAATCAGAGGGGTGACAGCGTTGATTGGCCTGGAGCACTCGCGAGGCTGGTGACAAGCCCCGCGCGTCCCAGCAGCGTATCGACAAGGAATGTGAGGCGGACAGGAAGGCAGCATGACAAAGGCGGATCACCGTGTCGGAGGCTTTCGTGAAGTCCACGAATGTAGTATAGGGGTGGATCTGCATTTCCGGGCACTTCTCTTGCAGCGGAGGGCAAGGAGACGCGAACTGCCACGCATACACCGGGCTGTTGAGATGGCTGTCGGCGATGCGAATCTCGGGGTACGGTGCTCATCACGGTAGGCGCCATCAGCCTGAGAGTGAACATGAGGCCGTAGAGGATGGGGCCGGGTATACAACCCTTCTTCACTCCGTTGGTCACTGCGTATGCTTCTGAGACAGTACCATTGTCTGTGACCTGCACCATGTGCATAAATTGGTCAGTTGAATTTCTGTAGGATTTCCCAGATTCCATCACGATTCACCATGTCGGTGGCTTTCGTGAAGTCCACGAATGTAGTGTAGGGCTGGATCTGCATTTCCTGGCACTTCTGTTGCAGCTGGCGGACACCAAAGATCAGGTCAACAACTCCACGGTGTCGTCGGAAGCCTGTAGCTGGCAGCCATCATGACCGTTCTGGCGTCATTGTTCAAGACCTCGCTGCCTCAAGGTCATTCACTCCTTACAGCGAGCCGTTCCCGACGCGCTGACCTGAAGTCACACCACGACCGACAGCTCGGGCATACCTGCGTCCACACAGCGTCGCGACTACCAGTGCGCCACTTGAACGCGCCATTCCCTGCAACCAGCAAACCGAGCCACTGGGACGCTACTCTCCGACAAATGCAACACACACTGACTGGCCACCACTTGAGCTTGGCCCACGAGCCTACAAAAGCGGCTGCCACCACTATCTCACGGACTCTCAGGCCTGACTGGACGCAGTCAACACCAGCCCTGGCTTCGCCAGTGGCCACTGTCGCCTGAGAGGACAACTCCGGATTCTGTGCACAATAAAGCCCTCATTCCGGTGCCTTTTCTCTTCTCACTACAACTTGGGATTCGACCTGGTGGTTCTAGCGCTCAGAGAACATACTCACACTGCTTAATTACGACAAGCCAAACTGGCGTTCTGGAAGAAGTCCCTGTTATAGATGTCTGTTTAAAAAGGCGGCGGGGAAAATCTTCCCGGCGAAGCTAGCCGGTGAGACGCCTCTGTGATTGTCACAAAGTTATCGGTTCCCTTCCGCGTACAGAGCTAGAAAGTTGTCGCGTTGTTCAAATCTTGAGGAACTGGTCATCGGTGTCGCATCTTCAGGAATAGCTTTATAATCTTGTCTATCAGCCAGGGGATCGACGTGATTGTAAAGATCCCGGCGCTTACCCGCAGGGAAGTTGATGTGCTGCTCGGTTGGTTTCTGGGGAGTAGGGGGGGGGGAGGTCCAGGTAGTTGTTCGTTTCCACTGCGGAGGAGCTGGTCGATGGCGGCGTCTGAGATTGTGGATGGGCCGTTGTCGACACTTCCGAAGTGTTCAGTACAACGCTTCACAATCTACACTTGTGCTGTAAGAGGTTTTGTTGCTTCGGAGCTGGGACGCGGCACGTTTCCTTTGGCTCTGGGAGGCCGTAGACCGTATTGATTGATGCGAACAAGTGCTTTGTTCCATTGCGGTCTTCATGCCCTGGATTTCTTCGGGCTTGCAAGTCATCCAGTGTGTAGGGGTATCCAATTAAGAAGGCACCTGTGCATGGGTGGTAGGTGGCATCGTGTAAATAGTGACTACTGCTCGAGGTCCTTAACTGGCTCTCCGAAGCTAGGGACTGCCTTGCGGTAACACGGTCCGCCAGCCGCCTCGACCGGTGGACTAAATCAGATGCGGGTGTTCGGTGTTGTATGTGTTCCAACATCCCGAAATTCTGTTCTCATTCCCATCTCTTCCTCCTCTCCCTCCTTTCCTCCCCTTTCCCCCCGTTCCGTCCTTCCCTCTTACTCTTCAGGGTATCCTCAGAGGGCGGCGATAGGCAAACCCCTAGGTGGGCCAGACTAAGTTAGATCGCTCTCCCAGTAAATCAAGCCGGGACCCATAGTGCAAGCTGACAGTCGTCAGGGGTGTTCACCCTCTCGCAGCGGAAGGAGCTAGAAGATGTGGCCTAAGGAAATGCTGAGGTCCAGTCAGAGCGTGCCTCGCAGATGTAACACTCGCGGTTGGAACAACGAAACAGACAGCAACCCACGTTCCCGTTCCCTCTACTCCAGCCTGAGGCCGCTCACTCTGGCTGCCTGGAATGTGCGTCCCCTTTTAGACAATCCGAGGATCAATCGGCCGGAACGAAGAACCATTCTAGTCGTCTGAAGACTGGCGCACCAACAAATATATAGTTCATGTTTTTATGAGCAGAAACCCAGGCCACCTCTGCAAAGTCGCGAACCATTGAGGAAAAACGGATAAAAACAAGTGCTCTGTAGTTTCCAGGCTGTCACATGGAAAGAACCGGCGGGGTGACATGCAGAACGCGAATGATCAAAGTCTGCCTTTGACTAGGCGGCGCCAACTCGGGTTTCATGATACTTCAGGGTTTCCTTGGGAGGCGAGCCAGAGCAGAAGGGCTGCATAAGTGTGTAGGCACGCATAAGTGCAGCTCAGAGTGCATGGGTGTGGTTCTAACTGTTGCACGAGACGTCTGTATTATAAATCATAGTAGCTGCGCCATCACAAGGGGCTGTAGGTGTCGGACCGAGTCCTTCAGATAAGGCGTACGTTTACTTCTCGTAGGTGCTTTAACCTGCCAGGCGCTTGAAAGCCCTAAATCTCACCAGTAGAGATCGATAGAACGTGCACTCTTCTATGCCCCAAGGGGAACCATATAGAAGTTAGCATTGCTTTTTATTTAACTATTTGCTAAACTTGATGCCAGGTCAGGTTGTTTACAAAAGGTCGTTTTAATGCGCACCAGACTACATTCGTCTGTGGTTTGAGCGCCCCATAGACTGAATTCTGAAAAAAGAGCATTCTATCGCCAGATTTAAATGATGACGACGACGACGACTTCAACTGCAACGAAGAGTTTTATATGTAGTCAGGTTTGCAAATGTAAGAGATCTGGGTCGATAATCTGAGAAAGATGAAGGGCTCACCAGATCAGTGGGATTGAGTGGCTGACGTTCCGGAGGGCTTGGCCGGCTCTCCATTGTCAAGGCGTTCAGTGCAAAAAATCGATCAGAATTTTGAAAAAAAAACGGCCGAATTAGTTGGCAGTGGACCGATCAATTTTTTCTTCTTTCGCTGTCTTGTCCTTCTGGCCGTTGCCCGTGAATGTTGGTGGCCACCTGTGTTGCGTGTCGTCACACCAATGGGGGTCGGTTACACCTGTGCTCCCCTTATGGGCAAATTAGTTGAAGCGGCATATTTGTTCGATATTTTTAGGTTCAATATGACCGTCTTGTCCTAGTCATGATGTATATAGCGACGTAGGACATTGTAGGCCACAGGAGGGTCTAGATGGCTGTTGATGGATTTGGCACCTGAGGACCAAGTCTCAAATGTGAGGCGTTGTCATTGAGGTGTCCCGGCTTAGGACGGTTGTTACCTGGAGGTTGAAACTGTGGCCGGCTTCTCCGATGTGAATCGCAAGCTGTGAGTTCGGGTCTAGTCTCCGAGTCGCCAGTTTGTGCTCGTGTAGGCGGGTTTGCAATCTCCGTCCGGTTTCCACAAACGTCGTTGCAGTCTACATCGTTACAACGTATTTGGCAGACAACTGCTGAGGTCTCAGGGGGTGGCAGTGTGTCTTTGTGTTGCATCGAACGGCGACTAATTGTTGCCTGGGGTCGATGGACAATGTCTACTCTGGCGGGTCGTAAGAGTCATGAAACCGCCTCGGAGACTCCCTTAATATAGGGAATAGCCGCTCGGCGCTTGGTTTGTTTAATGAAATCATTTAGGTATCCTCTCTCAGAAACGCAGCTGTGTCCGTACTCTATTCCAAAGAGTTGAAACACACTGCAGCATACCAGCCGACAAAAGAATTGAACGATAATACCTTCACGACCTCTTTCGGGTCAATGGATCCCCAAATTATTTTATTTAGCAAAGCAAGCGCCGAGTGGACCGACAATGGCCGCGTTTAAAGCAAACCGAAGTCTGCAAGGCTATTCCTTACATTAAGAGAGTCTCCGAAGCGGTTTCATGACTCTTACGACCCGCCAGAGTAGACATTGTCCATCGACCCCAGGCAACAATTAGTCGCCGTTCGATGCAACACAAAGACACACTGCCACCCCCTGAGACCTCAGCAGTTGTCTGCCAAATACGTTGTAACGATGTAGACTGCAACGACGTTTGTGGAAACCGGACGGAGATTGCAAACCCGCCTACACGAGCACAAACTGGCGACTCGGAGACTAGACCCGAACTCACAGCTTGCGATTCACATCGGAGAAGCCGGCCACAGTTTCAACCTCCAGGTAACAACCGTCCTAAGCCGGGACACCTCAATGACAACGCCTCACATTTGAGACTTGGTCCTCAGGTGCCAAATCCATTAACAGCCATCTAGACCCTCCTGTGGCCTACAATGTCCTACGTCAGTACATATATCATAACCAGGACAAGACGGTTACATGGAACTTAAAAGTTCCGAACAAACATGCCGCTTCAACTAATTAGCCCATAAGGGGAGCACAGGTGTAACCGACCCCCATTGGGGTGACGACACGCAACACAGGTGGCCACCTACATTCACAGACAATGGCCAGAAGGTCGAGACAGCGAAAGAAGAAAGAAATCGATCGGTCCAATGCCAACTAATTCGGCCGTTTTTTTCAAAATTCTGATCTACTTTTTGCTCAGAACACTTTGATAGTGGAGAGCCGACCAAGCCCTCCGGAACGTCAGCCGCTCTATTCCACTGATCTGGTGAGCCCTTCATAATTCTGAGATTTTATGTGTATGAAATAAGCAGAATTCCGCAATGACCTCTTTAAGTCGTAGCGCCATTAAGAGAGTATCTGGAAGAAAAGGGACTACTTTAGTCCAGGACAGAAAGATGTAACTGCGGTTTTCCAAAGAACAACACGACTGGCCGGCTGCCTTATCCAGTAAACAGTTTTCTACCCAGTTTGTTAATCACTTTTTCCAAACTACATAGTCTAATAACATCCGATAGGATGACAATACGATCTGTCTACCGGAACTAATGTCAAGAAAAGCAGAGGAGTCTGAGAAGGCCATTTCTGGCTAGCCAATCGTCGTCAGACAGCCATACCCAACGCCAGGTTTCATCAAACCAGAAATTTGAATTGGGGTATTGGTTGCTGAGAGTTTAATAGTCTAGCGTTCAATAATTAAGTCCTGGGCCCGTTGTTCTATTGGTTGCAATCGCGGAAAACCAATACGATGGGATGGACGTTCACCGACCATGGAGACCTT